TGGTTTGGCTAGCTTAATTGCTGTAGCCTTCTGTGCTTTCGGGCGGATGTTGTCGGCTGCCAGAGAGCTATGATTGTGCAATGAGAGTAATTTCCTTAGCACAATTACTGGGTTGAACTTACACGTATACACTTTGAAATCGGTAAAGTGGTTGAGTGTATGTGGCAGAGGTAGACCGCGAGTTCCTACATCGGGGCATGTGGTAGCCGCGGTGCATTGGCTGTTTCGTCTTTGCTTTGTATCCTGCCACATGCTGTGAAAAGTGGAGGGATACCATGCATTACTTTCCGGAGTTTGTTGACATGCCTGTATGGTAGTTTGCTGTTTGCCAGAAACATTTTGGCTACGCACTGTTGATGAGTTACTACGCCCTCACGGACAGGTGTGGTGCAATGTTGCGATGGGTCAGGAATTCGAGCCACGTCTCAGATTCTGGGTTAGCCTTGTAGACACGTCATCCTGCATCTCTTTTTGCCTTGCAATTTCTGAGAATTGCCGACATTCTTGCAGAACGCAAGGACTAGGTTTCTAATGTCCAGCTGACCGTGTCACTGCGTTTTTCACTGAATTCTGTCCAAACATTGTCGAGGGGACTGCTTTTCGAGAGCTCGCAAGCGGATGCCGCAACGAATTCTTTCAGGACGTGGTAGTGCGTAGGTGTTAAATCAGAGTGTTCAGATGGATAATTTGCATAGCAAATATATTTAAAGGCTATGCGTACATGCTTGCTGAGACCTAATGGACTCTCCACCAGTAACTTGTCAGGCATGAGAACTTTATTTGTGAGCACAAGATCCAATGTGGGCGGTTTATCTGCTGTCCTAAATCTAGTGGGCTTGGTGACATGATTGTGCTAGTGGGCAATTCACTCGCTGCCTTCAGCCGAAATTCAGATGGTGGCGTGCAACGAAACATGCACAAGCTTTTCAGTAGTCGTGCTACCACATGTTTTGGCTGTAGGACTAACTTCAACACACTTGGGCCACATCCATTGTAGTACAGTGATGGGCGCAGCCACGACACAGATTTCGCTAGCACGTCATCTAAGGAGTGCGTTGCACGAATATAGCGCTGTTGTTCTATATCATGGATTATTCATGCTTATCGCATGCTTCACTTTCAGGATTGCCCTGGACTACTAAAGTTGGGGGTCTTCTAATCTGCATTTAATTCTATAAGGCTCCCTCCATGGGATGTCTAGAAAGATACAGGTGGTGTAGTGTTCAATTCCTAGTTTGCCTGTCGACATCAGAACTAATTCTACTTCGAGAATGGAGTTCAGTATAACGTGCAGAAATCCTAGTTCTCCGTAATGCCAGAGTTGCTGTACCACATGAGTTGCGCCATCCGTACAAGTTTAAACACAGCGCCGACTAGGTTGCTAATGACGTCCTACTGGTTGAGGTTGTTCAACTACCTACCTCTACTTGACGTAGACTTTGATTCTGGGACATTGGAGCACCGTACATTCAGTACACTCTGTTGTTTAGTAGAATCTTTCGACCTGTCATGGGTAATGATTAAAATACTCAGTGCATTACTGTAGGAAACGCGCTGTGCTTGCACCAGGTGAACTCTGCTTTGTTCCTCATTTTCCAACCCAGTGGGAACGCTTCTACGTTTAATTGGCGGCCGTTATTAGAAGCAACCGTAACCCAACGGTCACTAGTACTGTTTTGCTCTTTTCAATTCACTCTTTCAGGAGATTGGACAAAGGCTTAAGTGTAGTTACTCCGTTTGAACTGAGAACCGCATTAGTCGATTGTGAGGTGCCTGTGATATTGGAACGGAAATTCATTTGCTGAGCTATTGGTCTTGTTTTGGTTACGGTGTTACCAGCCATTCTGCTCAAGATTGGAGCAGCAGTTAATGGACAGCCTAGGTTGCACATTCCGCGATGATTACCCCAACTGTGACCATTTTGGTAGTCACCATTTCTTCAATCTTGGCTAGTAGCTGGTCATACTGCTGAGCTAATAGGAGCACGCTTTTTATCATTGGGATAGACGCGCATTCCACACAGAACCAGAGTGTATCCGGTTTGTTTAATGATTTGGCCTGGCTAGTTTGCACTCGGCCGCATTTCGCATGGAAACTCTTGCACCAGTATGAATACGGAGTACCCACTTCGACAACTGGGCACATGATTAACATATGTCTTCAGCTTGAGGCAAGCTAGGCATAGTGCTCGTTGAGCGAATTTTACAAACAATTAGAGTGATTCACCCTTGATGGTCAGCAGTTGTTTCCGTGTTTCTGACGTTGATGGCAAGGTTACGCGTGAGGTTCACTTCGCGCTTGTGTGACCGCAAACTTTCCTGTCTGGTGAGCTGGTGGACTGCGTCGGTGTGCCCGTGAAGCAGCTCAAACGACGGGTTGATAGAGCCGTTTCGTGCTTGGGCCTATGAATTGCCCCAAGGTGAGCTTGTGAGCTTTGTGACTGAGATGTTTTCTCTGCACGGAAGCGTAAATTGTCCTGTAGCCGCTTCACAAAAGTAGGCCTTGGACGGGTGATAATTTGTTGGAGCGCCATTGAAATGCTCTATCAAGTGAAACCAATCAATGTCTACGACGGTTAGAATTACACAACTTTTGCGCTTGGATATCGGTGAAACAGTTGCAGAAAGTTACAGTTCAGAGTAAATGTAGGATGCACTAAAATGTTACCTAGAAAATTGTCCCACGAGATAGAGCTTATAAATGCCAAATGCAAAAGTATAGATCCAGTGGTGTGCAACTAAATGCAGCCGAGAAACAGCACAAAAAACCAAGCGTGCACGAATGTACGACTAGCACGTCAGTCAGTCAGATGCGGCCAGGTAAAACCAAGATGAAATTTGTGCGTCAAGATGGGCTGAAGAGTGGAATATCGGACCTGATACTCCAACATAGCATCAGTTCCATTGCTCATCGGTAAACGTTCGTGCCAGTTTAAACTAAGGGGTGTAATAGGAGAGTAAGCCCGGTCGGGAAATAAAGGCTGTATTTTCCGTATAGCTGAGGTGGTCCTTTATACTCGTGCTCATGTATCAAGTACCTTGCTAATACGCTTAGGTGCTAGTTGTGGAACAATCAAACATCGTGATTACAGTGCCGACTATGAGGAAGTTCTCAAGCATTTTACAAAAGTTGTGCCATATCATGATAATACTAATGTTGCACAACAATACGGAGTATCATTCTGGAACATGCTGCCTGTGTTTGTTTTTGCAACCGTATTTTATAACGATGATCCTAAATATGTGCAATATCCGATGGAATGGAACTTGTTCTTGTATGCTGCATAGAGCACATTATGCATGGACCGTCAAGGAATTGTGTCACAAAATAGGACATAGTAACCTACTGCAGGCAACATGGGAATGCGTTTGTTGGTCATAGTGCCATAACTGCTTAGTGCAAGCAGAGTTAGGACGAGGACATCCGCCCAGTACACGTTGGGTTCATGGTGCACTCTCCTAAGATACCTGTTATAACATTATTTCTGAATCGAATTCCGAAAGAAAACAAGGGCAGAGCGATAATTTTCTGGCTACGCAGTATACATATTAGGTGCAGATGAGCCAACAAACAAGTAACCTGTAATTCATTCTGAACATTGTTCAGTGATCTTAACTCACAGCACCCTGTATCAGCAGCCCAGCACAGCTCACAGGTTATAAGGGTCGCTATACACTGACTGTAAGTATGGAACTCAGTTGATGTCACTGGAGGGTGGTGCTTTTCTGTGCCAGTGTTGAGCGATCGCATGCTGCATTTTGTGAGGATGCGCCTTCAAGAAACACCGTGTTTGCGTGGTTATCGGAATTCAAGCGGGACAGGTCGTCCCTGGATTATGAGGCACGGTGTGTTCGACATGTGGAGGCCACCACCGCGGACAGCATTGCTGCTGTACAAGTGATACTGGAGAAAGATGCGCGGTTGACTGTGATACATTTAAGGAAAGCCATCGGGATCTCATCGGGATCAATCCGCGTCATCCTACATGAGAATCTCGGTCTCAGAGAGGTTTGCGTACTCTGGGTATCCATCAGCTCAGTGAGAACCAGAAAGCAGTTCGGGTGAATTCGTGCCGCACCATGCTTGCCAGGTTTGATGGTGGACATTTCAATGCGGTTTGGAAGATCCTCAGTGGTGTTGAGTCCTGGGTGTACAGTTTCGACGTAGAGACCAAGCAGCAACCGGCTCAGCGGACGGTCGTTAGTGGGACATCGCCTCAGATATTCCGGCGTGAGCGCAGGGTGGCCAAGAGAGGTCATGTGGCTAACGTACAGCTTTAAGTATTGGTATGCTACTCACTGTCTACCACAACTGCTGTAATCTGTAGCCAGGCTTCGTCCGAGGACTCGAACACCAGGGACCTTGCTGCATCATGACAACACGCCTACACATAGGTCCCATATCGTCGTAGCTTTACTGGCTAGAGTGCGCATCCAGGAGGTTAGTAACTCGTCCTACATTTCAGACTTGGCTCCGTGTGCCCATTGTATGTTTAAATATCAAGCGCATGCTGTTTGCAATCCGCTGCGAGTCTTCGGAAGCTGCAGTAGAGGACTTTATTGAGCTGCTTGAAGGTTTGCCCGCCTCGGCATGGTCTAACTTCTACTTCAACTGGGTTGAGCACATGGAACTGTGCGTGAACGCTGGTTGAGAGTACTTCGAGAAACTGTAGTGTATATTTGTCATAAAAAATAAACCTGTGAATCCGGAAATTTACTGCTGTACCCTCGTACAGCAACGAAGCCACTCCTTAGGTAAATATACAGCATCTTAGTTGAAAAATTCCTTCACGATAGCAAGTTTCACTGCATTTAAATCACTAGTGTGGACGTTTAGCTCACCCATATTTTGCTGTCATCAGAGTTGTTATTGAGGCGGTGTTGTAGTGTCAGTGTTGCTTTGTTACGTAACTGGACTTACAGCACTCTTGCATCAGTATGTAGCTCATACCTAGTGTCGGTATTATACAAACCTTACTATTTCATGTTTTATCACTTCAGAAACATCTACCGGATTTCCTACTGCGTCTCCCGAGGTCACCTATGGTTGGGAATGGCGTAGTTTGGATGGGGATGTGGCAGATATTAGCATGCTTGCAAGCGACATTGCTTCTCACGCAAATAAACTGCAAATCAGCGCTCTCAAACCCACTACCCCGGTTAAGGGTCGTTGTGTTGTGGTCGCGCCTTCTCCACTGGAAATCCTGGACGATGATATTGAACAGAAACCAAAAAAGCCTCCACAAAAGTACCTGTCTGATTTCTTTTTTGTCAGCGTTGAACCAGCAGATCCGAAAACAGAACATCTCTTACCATCTTGCAGACCTGTGGAAGGTGAGTACTACTAACTCTAAGACCGAGTAGTTTGGTCCATCTTTCACCGAAAATAGTCAGATTTGTTCATCCATATTTTGACCATAGGCAGTGGTGAAAAAGCCCTCTGCTGATTGCGTTGTTGCAATTTCTCATTATTGTCCCTCTAGCCAAGGACGCAGAAGTTAAAGTAACCATTTGGCCCGGTGAGGAAGAAACTATCACGTTGCAATTCGGTTCGCAACATGAATTTATCATTACCGCTACGAGTAAGTGCCATTTTATGAAGTAGAGACACCACTCAATCGTAGTACGGACAAAATGCCTTAGATTTTCATACTGATATCAGTCAAAGCTAGTATTCCGTTAACATGAATGGAGTCGCTATCGCAGTTTGTGTGATCGACTTGATTCCCTTTAAGGTGGTCATCAACGGCTGATGGCGAAACATCAATGGATTCAGTGCTATCATTTATCATTTGCCAATTAAATAGTGCACACGAGAGGGTACCGTGACAAACATGGTTTTAGGAGTGGTACGCACTTTTAACTCATCAGCAATCGCAGGTCCTAGCACTATCCTCCGGATTATTGTGACGCACTAGTGCAACGCCAAATTTTGGTAATAACTTGAGATACTGGATTGAAGGAGAATAACAGACACAACACTGAATGCTTCCTTGTTTGTGCTTTGAGAGTATCAACACATGATGTTAAGGTAACAAAAAAACTACAACTGAAGTTAACTCTCTTTATTGCCCAATTTGAGCTCATGAGCGATGCGCACTTCCCCAACCTTTCAGGATCTGACGGATCCTCCGTGCAGACTACGTCCACTGGTTACGAGCTTGCTTACTTATCTGGTGAACCAGCCCCGACCTCAGAGATCGCCAAAGAGGTTAGTTTTTCCGTCCACCGGGGAACGCTGAACATAAAGGATATCCAGTATCCAACGAAACCGTTGAAACTACGAGCTTTCGTGCATGTATCGACAACAAAGCTAGACGAAAGCAATGAGGAGGATCAGTCGGCCAAGGATAAATCGTGTTCACCCATCATTTATCGTTCCGAGTACATGCCGATTAATGTGCTGACACCAGAAGGTGAAAGTCAACCTCCCTGGATTGATCGATTATTCCCTATTTACGATGGTATGTTGGTGGAATTGCATCTGCGCCATAGTTCTGGTTTGAACATACATTCTCCGCAAATGGTCATATGTATATTTTATGGGCCAAGCAAAAATAAAGCCGCTTATTCCTAAGAAATGATTAGACTTCCGACTCGGATGCCGTAATCTGAGAAAGAATAAAACATGCACAAGCGCTTTATTCGGCACCACTGAATTGCTGCACATAGCAACGAATGCAGCATTAAATTCGCATTCATGGGAAGCAATGAATGAACTGTGAGACCCAAGGTCCATGGATGTTTTGGGGTGTCACCAAAAGCTAATTCTTTTTCACAAGTAACTGGTATTTTGAAGTCTATTTATTCACGTAAGAGTTTTCATTTTCAGCTAGACAGTTGCTCGTAATTAGAAAACCCTAATGTCCACTGAGTTACGTTCCGGAATGAAACCGAACACCTCTATTGCTAGGTCATTGTTTTTCAGTGACTAGCGTAGCATGGTGTGGAATGGCGACATTTCGCTTTGGCATTATCACTAGTCGCATTACTGTGCAACGGGTTATTGGCCAACACGTAACTCATAATCTCAAGTATCTAGGATATGAGAAACTATTCAGACTCATCCCTCGGTGGCCATGATATGCTTCGCATGTGTTCTGTTAGCCTTGTGCGTAACCCACTCGCGCTTTGGCCTATGTACACATCTGCACAGTTGTTAGGAATGATTTCATGAACGCAGGTCGGCATCCTACTCATGGTAAGTGAGTCCTTCAGAAGCACCAGTGTCGAAACTATTGTCTGACACTTTCAGAAAATCGCATTTATTTGTTCCTCCTTGTCCGAAGTTCCTTCTGCATAAGAAAATTGTACGTGGCCAGTCCATTCCGAGTTTAATATACCTTGCAACTGGTGTTTCAGTAACTGTCTCTGGTATCCACTATCCAGCAATTCGATTATTGTCCATTTTCAATTGACTCTCCAATCCCATTCATGGACTTCGACCTGTGGAACAGAGATAATGCGAACCCAACATACACAGGCTTTGGGTGACCTGAATCATTTTACGGTATTTATATATGTCCGCCGGTATACGAACTATCGCTTCTAGGCCACCTCTATTCCTGTGAACACAGCTGTCCAGCATTGACGCTGTACCTCTGCAGGGCTCCAATACCATGGTGAAGTTTATAGTCAATGGAAGAGATTGCAAGTACAATTTGTTAGCAAACGCGCTGGTAACCATGAGGCAAAAACATAAAAATTCCCTAAGATGTTACTTTACCAAAGTCAAGTGAATACTCGGGCACTCCCTCATGTGAGTCGATTGTTGACATGTCATCCAAATCAGGGCGCTCACTCACAACCTGAGTTGAATCGCCACATCTACCAAGCTTACACCTCAACATTGCGCTCAGTAAACATACAACACACAAAATGAGTCTCTGTTCACACACTGTCACCGCCCCCAGGCACAACTGACCCAAATTTCATGCCAACCGGTACTCCACAACGGTGCATGTCATTATCCCGGCCGGCTAGGTGAATGATCTATGCGGGAACCCAGAAGTAGATGGACAAATACGCAACATTTCACCCACTGATAGCACCCACAGGAATGCTGCGCACATAACATATCACATAGACGAGTAAGTGCTTTCAAACTGCGTGACCATCCACCCACGAGTACATGTAGCCACCGCTTATCAAAGTTCGTGCCAAGTGAGTTTGACAAGCACACCGCCTAGCTTGCGTGCAACTGGCTTCAATGTCGCAAGCCATTGTTGATTTTGACTAGCGAACGGGACGAGACATCGCAACATGCGATCTCTCTGCGCCGTAATGCACGACGCCACAGGTGGGTCTGCTTTCAAAAGCCATCTGCACTTCATGCCGTATGCATCTCTGATATTCCATTGGCTACTTTGAATTGATCACTCAACCAACAATACTCCTTTAGGGACGTGCGCGGTCACAGTGTAATTTGATCGGTAAGAACTGTTTTGACTTATCCCTGGTGGAACACGATTTTCCCAACCGGGAATTTGATTCCGCTGTGAGTACGATTGACTGAGAAAAGCTGTAGTCCGGACACAAACTAAGCACGCAGCCTAGTTCGTTACCGGTAGAGCTCACAAGTTACCTCCGGGGCTTTCGATAAGCGAGGTGATCAGCACATCCAAGTATTTACGTCTAGTGGTAACTTACGTAGTTAATCGTAGTAATCCCTAAGACGCCGGACAGTTGGTTCGTACTAGTTCATTTTAGCCTTTCTAGTGGCCTGCTAGAACTCAAGATCGAACGAACTTAAGCTTATTCACGCCAGACTTAACTTTGGCTTGCTTTGGAAATAAAGAATGTAAGCCTTTAGAAAGAACTACATGCACAGGACCTCAACGGTAGTGCTGGATGCCATACGAGGATACTATCAGAGAAAAACAGCTTCGTTCCTTTCAGTGGACCAAATAAACTCATCGGTCATGTGGTCTCTCTGGCGGTTTGTCAAAAACATCTACTAACATCTAGCTACTTTGAAAAGGGTTTCGTCTAAACCTTACGGATGACCAAAATTCTGAATCATCTGTACATTTGGTATCTGTTGTGGGTTTCGGACCTTTGTCCTAAAAGCTTCCATTGCATTGGGTCTGACTAGCGTGGTGCACGAAACTCTGATCCAGATCTAAGTGTGCAGACATAGAAGGAAGCACTCGATTGAAGGGAGTATCCTTTACGAACAGCGGGGGATTTACCAACTACGAACTTTTGGATGCAGAGGTCCGCACTTGTAGCGCCGCCTGAGGCTCGATATAGTGTGACATGAAAGGGCTACGTTTTACATGTTTACTAACCTGTGCGGCCAGTCTAGTCGCGCTTGTCTACATCGGTTTCACGTCCGTATTATGCGACTGACGTTTCGTTGGGCTACTTCCGTGGATCGCGAGGTTAGCGTTCAGCTTTTCCACTACGCGACCTATACTTCCATTTTATCATGTATTATACAATAAGCCAGCAACTCTTTCACCCAAATGACTGGAGCATTGAATTGAATAGTCTTTAAAACCGTCACTTATGTTTTCTCAAGAGTATCGATGGTCGGTGTTTCATAATTGTTACATATACATCCCTGCGTTCCTCGATGCTTATTTCCCTTTATCCGTCCCACTTATTTTTTATAAAGTATGCATCAAAACTGAGTTGACTACATGATAGACCGGTTAACTTGCTAAAACGCTCGCCTTAGTAGCTCCATCGTTGTACTATCCACCGCAACTCATCAGGCTTGTGGAGCTTCCGTAACTCTTTGAACGTTTAACCTGCCGTTAACGTCCACAATCCACTGGTTGAATACTTTAGACACTGTTTCCCTTCGTCTCTCGTTTTAACAGCTGCCGGTGACGCATATAAAGTGACGGTGCTTGGGTTGGATGACGATGGGAACGCTGCAGCCGAACCGGGTGGAACAATCGAGCTGACATGCTCAGTTCATGGTGAGTGTGGCCAAATATCCAATGAGTTTCCCAAGTAATTCGTGTATTGTAAAAATAACTTGAGCTACAAATCTGCAGGCCGAAAAAGTTCAAAGGGCTACAACTTTGTCAGTGGTAGTTCTGTGTTGGTACTAGCCATTCCAGCTGGTTAAATGTTGGTAATTAAGTAGCACCAGACACCTAATATACTGCTGTGCTTCTTTTTCAAATTGATACTCGTTTCCGTTCATTACTGAAAACAGAAGAAGCGATTCCACCACGGAAAGCGAGACCGTGTTGAGCGTAGTGAACGACCAAGCGAAAAGGTTTTGTTTCACATTGAACCGCCGAGCAATTCACTACCTTCTAATACCTGATATTGCGTAATTCAGTGATGAAATTCATTTCGTTAGAAACAAATGCAAGCGGAAAGGCATAAAATTTAGACTCACTTAGACAGTCACCATACGTCCGGAAAAGCACTGGACGACCGTTTCATTCTTTTGGCAATCACCAGCAGTGCACATTCCATCTGACCCTCAGTAATCAGTGTGAAGAGCAGACTGCCTACAACGCCAAAGATAATTAGTGGTTTAATTTGTCTTAGTCGTTGCGAGAGGGAACTATCTGTCTGCAGGTCAGCAACGTGTAAGCCAGTGCGAAGTGAGCCGCCCTACATCATATTTAGCAACTCAGCAACTCTGTCGTTGCCGTCCCCCTAAAGTAGGGTCACAGGTTCTACTCCATAGATGTCGGATGAAATGCTGATGACTCTCGAAAGAATGGAATTGTTGCTCAGTGTCTTTCCGGACGTGTGATGTATATCTGACTTATTGCAAATTACATTATTCTAATCTAAGCAACACTTTCCCGACAAAATTTTAAGTAAAAACGTCAACACCAAAGCACCGCACGATTTAATTCCGGACAAATTCTTCTGCATATTCTCAAGTGCGCACTACAGAACACGTGAAAATTAATAGTATCATGAAGAGTTTAGAAAAATGAGATAGCAAATTTACCATCATACGTTGACACACACACACACACGTCTTTGTCAATTCATCACCTCTCTATTGGCTTACTACCAGGGTAGAGGCAGTGTGACGAATGCGTCCTGCACACACGTTTGATTGCAACCGCCTCAGGGTAACGCAGCACGCGTTGTTTGATGCGTAGATCACATTGACCATACGCGTGTGATCAACACAGTGTTTGTCGGTCAGGAGATGGCGGGCGATGGATGGCGCAGGAGTCTTAAAAGGTTGACCACTTGCGTTCTCTGCCTCCGCATGTTGGGTGGTGGACGGGGCTAGGTTCGAAATGGGATTCCTGATCCACGCTGGGATATGCTCTGCGATTCTCCCCTGCAACTGGCGCTCTGTCATGCCTATGTAAGTGGCCTTGCAATTACGTGTAAATATCACATCTAGTAACTAATTCAAGATGGTCGCTACCGTCCCCCGTAGCTCACGGACTGGCAACAGTCGAGTTGCGCGTTCGAGCCCTACCAGGGTCCGATGAAATGCACACTGCTGACGATTCCCGAAAGGATGAAACGCGAGTACAGTGTTTTTCCGGTCCAGATTTTCCTAGTTTCACGCACAGTATCACGGCAGGAGTTAGTAAACTTAACATATCAAGTTTAATTTGTCGATTTCCTCTCGGTTGGACAAGTACGTCTCTCGGTATTGCTTTAGTTTCTCAGCGGCTTCTTCAAAATAACTCCTGGTTATCCCACTTAAATTCCTGGCATTCAGTCGCAGCTTGTGAGTAAGTACACTTTTGCACTAAGCAGCCGGGATTTGATTAATGTTTAGACACCTTTCCAAAAACTCCTTTCGCAAGTACAGTTTTAAGACGCCTGCACCATCCATCGCCCGCCATCTCCTGGCCGACAAACACTGTATTGACCCCACGCGTATGTTCAGTGTGATCTACGTATCAGGCAACACGTGCAGCGTTACCCTGTGGCGGTCGCCATCAAACAGCTTGACCCTAATCTATGTGTGCAGAAGGACGCGTTCGTCACACTGGTTCTACCCTGGTAGTAAGCCGGTAGACGGCTGATGAATTAACTAAGACGTGTGTGCGTGTGTATGTGTCTAGGTATGTTGGTGTGCCCCATGCTGAGGCTGATGTTGCATTCTTGATGCTTCTTCACCGCAGTTGGGCTAAACCAACTTACACTGAAACTAGGTCTTTTTAAGGTAGATAAAATTCGTTACCTTTTATTTGGTTTGTTCGTCCTACCTGAATATTCTTCTATTAACTGGCCACGTTGCTTACATTAATTGCGCTTATCTTCGGTAACTGTTGCGGTTTGTAGCACTTTTAACTAACTTGTGGACATTTTTTCTTTATCGCGGATTCGTTGTTAACCAACTTACTTCATACCCTAATTTAGCTTAGAGTTATGCCACCGTATCTGTATACATTACTGGATTTCTTTTATTTCATCTTGTCGTTCCAGGTGATTGGTTGTTGCTTGATATCCCCGGTGTGGCTGCGCTTGATGTGCATGTTGACAAGGTGCCTACCTGTCTATTACCCACTACGTCGTCCATACTGGCTCCAGGAGACAGTTGGTCGTTGCTGGAGAGGACGGGGTGCACGGTCCTTGTGGCCGTGCTAGGCTCGAAGAGCGGTTCCATACACTCAGTGTGGAGCGGACTACGGTCCAGCCACCGCCTTGTGTGCGGTTCATTCTCCAAATACAGCGTGCTTGTGTTTGCCTGTGAAGCAGTGTGGACCGGCTCCGTTGATGAAACGTGGCTCCCATCCACATGCCTCCCGTTCTTATTCCTTCGGGTTTACACTGGATATGGGGTGTTTGGATGGAGCTGTGGGTGGTGCAGCGCAAGCCACCCGTGGTCCCTCTGTAGGCGCAGGCGCCCTGTGGCTGGCCACAGTGACAGGCAAATCCGAAACCGGATGCCGCCAACCATGTTGGTGTGCTATCTCATTTTTCTAAACTCTCATGATGCTATTAATTTTCACGTGTTCTGTAGCGCGCATTTGAGAATACGCAGAGAAATTTGTCCGGAATTAAATCGTGCGGTGCTTTGGTGTTCACGTTTTACTGACGATTATTCTAATCCTCTAGGACCACCTTGCAACCATAAACATGCGGGTTTTTACGAGTATATGACAATGGAAGTTTCACGCATCTGGAATGTGTGCTGGAGTTTGGTTCCGTTACCATTTATTCCTCTTTATTAAGGCGGTGATAAGGAGCTCTCAGGATCACAGGTACCTTTTCTAACCCATTTGATAACCATTGAAGCGTGGCAATTTGAGTTCCTCCTCCATTCGAACATGGATATGTCATGTGTAAACATTGAATGACTCCGTGTGTGCAGGGATGGGCGATTTTGCCTAATGTGTTTTATTTTTGCGAGTTCGTAGCGTACACGATAAATCTGTCTTATTTTTCTTCTTTTCCGCTTAAACTAGACAAGTTTGGTTTTGATGCTGACCTTGAGTTCAATGGTTATAGCTGGGTGTTGCTGAATGGTAGTGGACATTTGGTTAGCCCGAGTGCTTTGGCAGACAAAGTGGAGATCATCGAAGGGAAAACGTTACGTGTCAGTGGATATCACCCGTCCGCATATCGCCAGGGAATACGGGGGCGTTGCGTCATCAACATCCCAGTTCCAGTTCCAGTGAATGCAACCCTCTCCCCAGATGTGCCACCAACACAGCGCTTTATATCCCCGTACTTCACGTTCACACAGAAGGAACCCACTGATCTGGTGGACAAACCTGAAACTGAAACACCGACTCCCAGCGAGCATGAAACCACACCACCAGTTACTGATGGGGGCAGGCCGGCAACTACAGGTGAGTCAGATGTTCATTGACATTAGAATGGTTGGGAAGCTTTCATGGCGATTCAAGCTGCTGATACTTTAACCTGGTAAATGTTCCGAAACGTTACACCTCAGTACTACCGTTCATCTTGAACGCTTAAAGGCTCATTTCAGTTGCTCATGATTGCACCACAGGTCCACGAAGACCGTTGGTTCCAGACTCCGTTATCCAGCATAGTTACTTTTAATTGCTTTTCTACAGCTTTGGGGCATTACTGTCAGTGTTTTTTAGAGATTAAGATAGGTTGACCACCACTAACTCGAATCAGCATGGGCGTCGACCGACGAACTCTGGACTAGTATCCCCCGTGCCTTGTCCAACCCCGGACTGCAGAGTTATCTCTCACCTGGTGAAGTGATCGGCAATGGGGAAACTACCCACTTATGTCTCTCCCGCGGTCCTCCAACCCATAGTCCATTGCTTTTGCTTTTATTCCTGCAGCACATAACTAGTTTTCTTACACACCAAAAATTTACGTTTTCTTTTCTCGCCTTACATCGTACTGCCTTTCAACCGCATATGCAACGCTTCCTTATCAACATTATTAATATGATATAGGACAGGCTGATGGAGTAACGACTGTATTCGTTTTTCGCCTTGATTTTTATTTTGCGTATCTGCACAACGCCGGATTTTACTACCTTCACAATGATATCTCTATTGCATTGATCCGGCTGTATGGATGTAATTGCAATCGTCACATTCGAGGCCATTGATTTTACTACCAGGCGTGCGTCGCCTTTCTTGTGGCTGTTTTGACGATTTATTCTAGAAGTGGCACACCATTCGGGCTTTGGTTATTTTAAGGAAACTAGCATAGGTTTCTAGTATCGGCTACTTAACGGAACTGCGTCACGCTAGGAAACGCGCACCGTGTCGATTAGTTTCATACGTGATCGATTGGCCACAAACCGGGCAATCAGTTTGTGGAATACAGTGCCCCTTATCTGTCCCGAATCCTGTTACAGTGGCGTGTTAGAGTGGGCTCAGGGTTGTGTGACCTGATTGTAGGAAGACATTTGGGTACGGAAACTTATGAAAACTAATTCCGTAGTAAGCACTTCCTAGGTGGCTCCGACTACCTGCTGTGCCTGCGTTGAGTGTGAACGCCAACCAGGAGCCAAATTCTGTTCCAACTTCAACAGTGGAGTATATCATTCATACTGTGCCCGACACAACCTACTCCCAACACATCTATTTGCATGTAATTGGCTAATTAGACGTTAAACTTACAAACCTTGATATAAATATCAAGGATGTGTCCACCTGCTATGGGGTAGCTGGCTGTTCGATTCCCTGTAGAACATTCAAGCAGTAAATAAAGCCTACACATCTTAACCTAATTGCCCATTTATTTCCACCAAAGGTTTCACTTTGGTCGTCGACTCACCAAGCAACCCCGTCTACGAAACAAAGGAGAATAAAAACATTGTTTTGGCCAGAATTCAACGTCCATTCGAGGTAAGATAATTGTGATTGTGTTTGTCTACAAAGTTCCTGGTATTTTCCCCGGTGTCTAACTCCTCAGCCTGTTCTTGTGACCATACCGCCGTGCGTACTCCAGAAGTCTGTTTGAAAAGTGGAATTTCAGTGAAGAGTAGCGCACACAATGAGAATAGTTGAACATGGATCGTTTTGTGTGAGCCTCATCTCATGACGAGTAGGTTTACCTGGATGACCACCGGAACGAATGAATCCCTATGGGAATTTGTAGTGTAGCAATGATAATGAGTAGAAGTGCGTGACCTGTAGCTACCTTCCATTAGGTGCATTGGGAAGTACTGTCAGATGCATGTGACCATAGTTATACTAACTACGTGGACATCATTGTACATCTCTTTACATTGGGAATGTATTCTAGCTACTCAACGAACTTAATGGTAGGAACAGGAAAGTGATTGCCTAAGTCGATCCTGCGTCGAATCTATATGGGTATAAGCGTTACATTCGAGTAATTGAGCATGAAGAAATTGATGGACGAATGTTTTGAACGAACTCAACGTTATATAAACTAGGGCATAAATGAAATGTTATCTTTTAGCCACGTACCTAATGCTTACAGAGCAGGTAAAACAAATTCCAGATAATTAAAACGAAGAACCACTTCGCGTCTTCGCTTTTTCGGAACTTTTTAAACCCCGAGAAATTCCCAATCGCATAATTGCAAAGCAGCTATTTTCCCATCCGCTTGCTCCCTCCGCCCAGTTTACTCGGGCGCATTATTGGGCGAGGTATAAGGGTACGGGAATACAGTGTTGCCCAGCCTATTTCGCCGTAAATGTTAAATCTTGCTTGATCATCTGTGGTTTTTGAACACATATATACTGAGCTCACTATCAATGTAGGTCTAATGAATTTTTTGATATACATGTGTCCAGGCTTAGAGAAATAGGTCATTAATAATAGGAGGGGCAATGAGTTAGTGAGCTTCTTAGTTTAATCATTGAGTGACACTAGTGCCGTTATGCGGTGGGCTTGGCACAAACAGTTCTTGCATACTTTCAATTGTACGCTGTCATCGCTGTCTAGAGCTATCCCTGGAAATGGATGCTTGATTAGGTGTTGAGAAAAAAATTCATTAGTAGCGCCCACTCTAGGAGCGTCATCCTTTGGCCACTGTTATAGTCGCCAAAGCATCATGCCACGTGCACTATTAATTGAGATCAACATTTGATGCCCCTTCTGGAGAAGCAAGAAAAACGCTAAACCATACTCAAAAAGGAGTATAGTACATGAGAAAATGACTGGCCAGTTCCACAAGTCTTGAAGGTGATCACGGTTGTACCCGCTGCAGCTCTAACACTGTGCAAGTGAGGCAACCACATTTGTCAAAGTATTTGAAATGAATCAACTGCTATAAAAGGTAACTTGCTCAGTAAGGATGACTTTAACTTTTCGCTTGTTCTTGGTGGATTCATTCAGAATCCGGCAAGTGTCCATTGCAAACAGAGGTACACGGTCCCTGACAAGTTAACAACGAACCACAAAACTGTTCGCGTAGGTGACGCCAGAGACCTTAAGGGTTAATAGCTGAATGAAATAGGTAGATATTCTTCATATGTAGACTCCATCAAACAGCCAGCACATGCCTGGAAAAGCACTGTGTGGCCTTTTCATTTTTTTCAGGAAACGTCATCAGTGCGCGTTCCATCTGACTCCTATGGAGCTCGAACTCGCGACTTGACGTTTGGCAGCCTGTGGTTGAGGTCACTGAGTTATTGGAGACGGCAACAACCGCTGTGACTAAGTTACGAGGTATGTGTGATGGTTGGCGGCATCCGGTTCCGGATTTGCCTGTCACTGCGACCTCCACGGGGACAGCCACAGGACGCCTGCGCCTACAGAGGAATCATAGGTGGCCTGCGCTGCCCCACCCACAGCTCCCTTCACACACCACATATCCAGTGTAAACCCAAAGGAATAAGACCGGGAGGCGTGTGGATGGGAACCACGTTTCATCAAAGGAGCCGGCCCACACTCCTTCACAGACGAACACAAGCACGTTGTATTTGGGGAATCAAGCGCATACAAAGCGGTGGCTGGACCGTAGTCCGCTTCACACTGACTGCATGGAACCACTCTTCGAGCCTAGCACGACCACAAGGACCGTGCACCCCGTTCCCTCCAGAAACGACCAACTGTCTCTTGGAGCCAGTATAGCCGAGGTAGTGGGTAATAGACAGGTAGACACCTTGTCAACATGCACATCAAGCGCAGCCCCACCGGGATGTCAAACAACAGCCAATCACTTGAAATGAGAATAACAATTAATATATATGAAATAAAGCAGACGGTATTGCTGGCATAAATCTACGCTAAATGAGCATATGTAATAAATTGGTTACCAACAAATCCGCGATAACCTCAAGATGTCAGACAATATACATTTTTTGAAATGCTACAAACGTCAGAATCTTAGCGAACTTAATCACAGTTAGCTTAAGCAACGTATGTAAGTTTCTATAAACGTTAAATATGAGGTAAAATATGATATGCATTGAGACACTATAGCAAACCCACAGCCTGAAATAAAGAGACTCAGCAAACAAGCACGCGGTTAGTAGATCGAATGTAGCGTACCTACAAAGGCTGCGCTGATTCTGCTTTCGTTCTCAGCAGCACATGTCGTCGTTTCGTCCCGTGTGGTCTCGCTCGTGACTCACTAGGCCTGCCTGACTCAGGCACTCGCAACCGCATGTGCCACAACACCATGCACTCGACGTCGATGGAGTACAACTTATCGGCGCTTGCCGCTTCCGCACTTGCCGTTTCTTCTCTCCATACATGAGTTCTTCCTCTCGCACCTCGGCAACTGCCTTCGTGATCAGATCGCGTCATGCACGCCGATCAACCGCTTTCGATTCCCATGACCTGCAATCAAGATTAGAACGTGAGAGGCTCACTTTGATCATGTCCTGGTAACGTAACTTTGGTTTCCCACATGCCGCCTCCCTGCATTCAGTTGGTCATACAGCAGCTGTTTCGGTATCCGCGTCGAATCCATACGGCACATATGACCGAGCCACCTCAAGTGTCTTAGCGAAGTATGCAGTCCACTGCATATATTCCACTTCAGCTCAACATCTCCGTGTCTGCAACTCTGTCGCCCCAAATGATGCACAAAATCCGTCGCAAACACTGCTGATTGGATGGCTCGAGATGTCGCACATCCCGCCAGTACATCGTTCACGTTTCACTGCCTTATAGAAGAACGGACAGCACCATGGATTTGTACACCATCAGCTTCGTGCCAATGGTAAGCTGATGGTTGTTCCACACTCGGTACTCTAGCTTCCCGAATGCCGCCCCTGCCTTCGAAACGCGGATACGCAACTCAACGTGTAGCTGCTGGTCAGTCGACATCCCACTCCCAAGGTAGCTGAAGCTGGAGGTGGTTTCCAATACTTCGGCCCCAATGCTGATTCGCGACAATATTGAAGATTGCACCTCCGGTGAAAGCTGAAAGAGACAGACAGTTTTGCTTGTGTTGATGGTGCGTCTGAATTTGGCCGCTGTCGAAGCCAGAGCACTGATCATGTGCTGCAACTCATCCGCGCTGTGTACAAACAACACACAGTCGTCAGCAAACAGCAACCTACGGATAGTTGTCTCACAGACTAGGGTTCTGGCACCGAAACGAGGGACGTTCAGCAACCCACTTTCAATACGGTCCTTCACACGAACACCGTAAGCACAAGCCGCATCAAAAGCACAAGACTTCTTGATATGAAGATAAATGTTAAACTGGACAGAAGCTAAGACACAGCCTTGTTTCACACCAATGACAACTGCAAAGTCATCAGAGGTCTCTCCACTCATCTGCACCCTAGCCCGCATACCCCTGTGCAGATATGCAATTAAACTTACAAATTTACGCGGGCAGCCAAACTTACCAAACACCAGCCACAATGCCTCATGGTTCACCGTATCAAATGATTTGATGAAATCAACAAAAAGCGAGTACAACGGCTGATGTCGTTCTCTGCACTTCTCCTTCAACTGACGGGCCGCAAACACCATATCGATGGTGCTACGACCCGAACGGAATTCACGCTGCTCCCCCACCACGTTCGGTTCCACAACCTGACTGACGAGGCGGTTGAGCAGGATTCAAGCAATCACCTTGCCCACACAACTCAGCAAATTGATGCCACGATAATTCGTGCAACATTGCTTGCCCCTTTGCCCTTGTACAGTGGTAACACAAGGACATCCTTCAGTTCAGGAGGTACCTCCTCCTCAATCTACACGTGTTGCACCAAGTGGTGCAGCGCATTCACCAACGTAGGTCCACCGTGTTTCAATACTTCAGGCGGAATTCCGTCGGCACCGGCACACTTGCCGTTTCGCAGCTGATCGAGTGCTGCCTATATCTCATCCAGTGTCGGCATGTCCACCAGACTCGCGTTCACATCGTGCTGCTTCAGGCCGTTCAAAATAGGCAAGGCACTCTCTGAACCGTTGTTAAAGAGACAAAGTGTTTACGCTAGATCTGCATTATGTCTGCAGTGTGTATACAGATAACGCCTGAACTACCATAGAGTAGCGTGCTTAGTGGCTGCAACCTCGGTCCATACACAGCCTTTAAAATTCAAAGAATTCCTTGTGTTGGCGGCGTTCGGCGTAGCGTTCCATCTGCTTCGCCTTCTCTGTCTACCATGCATTTTATTGCGACGGAGCTCTCGGGTCAGTCGTCGTTGCATTCGCCGAAACTTTCTCTTCTTCGCTAAATTTCTGCGGTCTGCCACATGTGCAGCAACTGCTGCATTCTTTTGCGACACAGATGCGCCAATCGTCGCATTGTTCTCAGCAAACCAATCGGGCCGCTAATGGTTTGCGGTCCCGATGGTCTCCTCGGCAGCAGCTGCCACCTGGTCGCGAATGTGGTGCCACAAGTCGTCCATTGTGGCTAGACATTCCACATCACCTAGACCTACAGCGATCACCTTCTCCAGCTCAAT